GAGCCAAGTGGGAAGGGTTGTTTGCAGATTGGCTGGAGAGAGTCCTGTGGTCTGTTGTGGGGCTCCTTCCCTCCTGGTTTTAATGCTTGAACACAAACTGCCTCTTGCACTGGCAAAGCAGGCAGGAGAGACACTGCCATGTTCCCTAAACCAGCAAGGGAGAGGCTGAAAGCTCCAGGCATAAAGGCATAAAGGCTGAAGTTTGTTGCAGTTGCAAGTAAGAAAGTAGGGATTCTTCATGGAAAACGTGAACTATGAGCATCACTGGGACTCCACCTTTAATAACTTTAATGACTTGTATGTCATAATGAAGAGTGGCGTGTGCTGAACAAACATCTCCATAACCTCATTCATTAGGAGGCAAAACTTCGAGTATCTAATATTATGTCTCAAAGTCAAATAAACAGTACATTTTGGTGCAAACAGGCTGAGTTATGGAATTACTTACACTGGGGTAACATCACTTTGTGGGTGTGAATGTGTGACACAAAGGAGCAGACAGATGATGGAGTGGGGCAGCACTGCTGACCTGGTGAGAGCCCGAAGGCCATTTGGGCCAGAGCATCGGGGAGTGCCGTATAAACACTGATCAAACTAAAATTATAAAAGAAAATAACAGTTGGGAAGGGGTAAGAGGTCCCTTCAGAAGGAAACAAGAGCCTCAGAGAGCGTATATAAACCACTTTCTCTGCCTTGGGGAAACAAAATTCCTGATGTGGAGCTTGCAGAGGGAGGAAAATAGAAACAAGTGGGAATATTTAGAGTGAGGTTTCTCTTTCAGTTCCCTCGTGCTCTATTTTTGTTCCTCGTGTTGCACTTGAGAACCAGAAGTCACTGGGAGACTGGAGCACGTAGGTACAGCCAACTGGCAACCTCTTGGCTCTGCTCCATGGAGCTGTTCTTGTTGGCAGCCCAGGTTTGGCTGAACACTGCTGTCCTCGGGGACCCCACTGCTCTGCAGTTTCCTTTTCTAATTTTCTTTGTTTTGTTTTCACCATTATCTGCGGACATTGGAAAAATTATCAGTTCTCTGGAATGGGGCAAATCCTGCTCTGTTTTTACTGGCCATTCCCTTTGAAATGGGTGGCCAGCTGAATCCTAGAATATGCTGAGTTGGTAGGTATCCCTTAGGATCACTGAGTCCAATTCCTGGCCCTGCTCAGGATCACACCGTGTGCCTGAGAGCATTGTCTGAACACTTCCTGAACTCAGACAGGTTTTGGTGCTGTGATGAACTTGTCCATTCTGACCCAGATATTTCTGATGTTAATTTAACAACAGTATAAAAGTTCCTGTGTGAAGAGGTGAGCGTTTCTAAGCTTTGTAATTACTGAACATGGTGCTGAACACATTTTTGAATCACTGTTTGATAGTGTAGGTGTCATGTTTGACAGGTTAGTGTGTGCTGTGACACTTCACTGAGAGAAGGCAGATACAGGTGAACTCACTTATCTGGGAGAAGATTCAGTTTTGATTCTGTGGACTGGAAGTACTTAAACTCCATCCCAGTTCAACATAAGAACTCAGGGAGCCTCCCATGGACTCCAGCAGAGCTGTGGAGTCCTCAGAACTTCCCATGGTTCTTCCATGAGCTTGAAAATCTGTAAATAAAATAACTCCATTTAACTGAAACCAGGCAGCAGAATGACACTGACCTATTTCTCTAGGTTGGTGAGGAGAAAAAAAAATCATCGAGTTGGTGTATTACTTAGGGTAATTGGGAAAATGGAATTTAGATTAAATTTAAACTCTGGTTTATTACAAGTGCCCTGCAGCACTTCTTACTTAATGAGCAGAACAAGCTTCTGCTTTTTCCAGGTGCTACCATAAACCACATTATTTCCTTAGGTGAAAACTTAGGCCAGGGTGTTGGCCTATCCTGTTCATCCCAAACTAGATGCTAAAAAACTGATGAGCTTTTTGAGTCCTTCTTATGTTGGAAAGTGAAGCCAGATTGAAATAGTTAACTGTGGATTTTGGATTTATAGCTTCAGCTTTCAAAGAACTGGCCTTTGGCAGCTTCCAGGGCAGCATCTGTGTGCTTTAGGCTGAGGGCTCCGTGGTCTCGTGGCAGGGAATTCAAAGGAGTGGCTTGAAGGCAGTACTGGTGAAGAACCTGCAGGATGCTGCTGGCCAAGGCAGGCACATCTGCTCTGCTTCTGAGCAAGAGTGTGAATGGACACAGGTTCCAGCCCTCTGTTTTATAGCAGCCAGAACGGGGGTGGTTGTGCTTGTGCCCAGCTGCCTGCACAAGCCCCGTCAGTGCTAACTTCAGCCATCCCATTTTAATTTGCTGTCACACGTCTGCCAGAGCATTGCAGGAGGCTGGGAGGGAGGATGTTTTCCCCAATGACTGCTGTTGACATTTGCAGAATAGAAGTGAAGTCAACCGGTTGTTTGTCGGAGGTTTTGGTGCCCGTGGCTGTTCCCAGCCAGTTGGGATCGCCCAGCGCCGGGACCTTCCCAGCTGCAGCTCGGGGAAAATTGCTCAAGCTGTCTTGGTGGTGAATGTTGTTTCTTAGACCAGGGACGTCAGGGAAACCAAAATGATCAATCCTGCTGTACAATTTGGGGAAGCAAATGAGAAGGGATTCCATTCTTCTCTGCTGCCCCCACAAAAAAGGAAATAATTCAGGAAATGTTCACATACACAGGCAGGCTCGGGGAAGCGGTGACGTGGGAAGGGACTGATGGCTTTGTGTACAGAGGGCATCTTGCAGCTTTGGTTTTCACCAGTGGCAGCTGCTGCAGAAATAAGGCAAAACTTGAGTATTTACCAGGCAAAGTTTGAGTGTTCACTGCAAAATCTACAGGGCTGTGTGTGTGAGGGCTGAGGTGTTGTAGGCTCGAGGTAAGAGCATCAGAATGATGTGGTTGCTGATGGTCCTGAAAAAAAAGCTCTTGTCTGGCTCTGCATTTAATAGCAATGTAAATAACTCCTCTTTCCTGGAAGGGTGGTTTTGGACTTGATTTTCACAAGACTGGGCAAAACCTGTGTTTTACTTCAGCGGCCTGGTGTGTGCTAGGACCCCAAACCATTACCACTGTGTGTACCTAGTGGGAAAAGGGAGATTGAGAGAGTCTGAGTGAGCTGTGTTGGTAAGAACAGAAGCAGATAGAGAATTAAGATGATAAAGCCAGCAATAAACATGAGCTGAGACTGGGAAGAAACAAGGAGAGATCTGAGAAAATTGCGACATAAAAGATACAGCGGAAATTCCTGTGGAAAAGAGGAGGTGAAGTGGAACAGGGAGAGAAGAGGGAGGAGGAGGTGATCACTACATGCAGTTAATAGCAGCCCCAAAGAGAGTTTTAATTGGAAACCTGTTATAATTAACCACAGATTTGCTCCCATGCGTGTCAGGAATGTGTGTGGCAGGGAGTTTTCCTTTTGGCTGTTGCGTTGCTGATGCAGAGTCCGTTGGGGTTCCAGCCAAGTGGCAGATCCGTGTTTGTGTTTACCAGGCCCTGAGCAAACACATTAATAATGTAATTTGTGGTGGGAGATGACACTGCAAACTGATTTCAGAATTTTCTGTAGCAGACGGGGAATGTGCTCTGATTCTGCCCTGTCTAAAGCTGCTCTTTTTAACCGTTCAAGCACGAGCTCCTGTCACCTGGCAGGAAGACATTGACCCTAGTTGGTGCTGGAGGAGACCTTGACCTCATTGGTATGACCCGTGGAGGCTCCTTCTAAATCCCCTGGGGGACTTTCTAAGTAGGGAAGGGGTTGAATCTGCAGCTTGTGCATTCTTTATGTCTGGAAGGATGAAAAGCAACCATGGAGGGTTCCTCAAATTCGTTTGAACTTAGTTGTCCTTTACCTCCTTGTGGGATGACAGTACCATGTGCTGGAGAGCTGCTTTGAATGCTTCAGAGGCTCCTCTGAGCAAGGCAGGCAGCTTTCTGCTTGCTGGTGAGCAGGATTGCAGGGACTGAGATGTGGATGCATCTTTCAAATCCCTTTGGCAATTAAAAACGGAACAAGTGGAAACCAGTGGCTGCAATTCCAGTTAAAAACGGCCACTTCTCCTCGCACAGAAAAACACCTTGGCAGGTGAAAGCATGGAAATTTGGAGGTCAGTGAGGGGTGGGTTAAAGCCAAGGACTGAGAATTGGAGCTGTGAAAGCTCCATGGCTCTCTGCTGGAAGCACCTGTCTCTCTATTGTCACATCACAGAAGGATGTGGGTTGTAAAGGATCTTCACAGACCATCCAGTTCAATCCCCCTGCCATGGACAGGGACACCTTCCACTAGACCATGTTGCTCCAACCTGGCCTTGAACACTTCCAGGGATGGGGCAGCCACAACTTCTCTGGGCAGCCTGTGCCAGGTCCTCACCACCCTCACAGTAAAACCTGTCTTCCCTATGTCCAACCTAACCCTGGCCTGTTGTGTTTAAAACTGTTGCTTCTTGTCCTGTCATGATAGGCCCTGGTCAAAAGTCTCTCTCTGTCTTTCATATAAGCCCTTTTTATATGTTGAAAAGCTGCAGTAAGGTCTCCCCAGAGCCTGTTCTTCTCCAAGTTGTACAACCCCACCTCCCTCAGCCTTTCCCTGTGGAAAGCTTTGGTTTTATTGTGCAGGTCTATTCACCTTGCAAGCACTACACAGGTAATAAATGGCTTTTACCTGTTGGAAGAGTCTTCCTTGACTGCATGCAAACAACTGGTTTAAATCCCACTGAAGAGAAGATGCTGACAGACTCCCCTTGCTGTCTGTGTGCCAGAACTGCTTCCAGATCATTCAAGGACACTGAATGACAAGGGAAGATATGTGTGCATCCATGTTCATCCTCCAAGAGCATGGATGAGGTTGGTGAGCCTTTGGGACCAACCTCTGTGAGCTGGCAGAGGAATTTCTCCTGCCTCAGTCCCAAACACAGGGATGAGGATGAACACTTAGGAGAGGTGGCTGTAGTTTAACTTGGTGTGTAGCTGGGTGCACACAGCTGTAAAAAACATCCAGCGTTGTCTCTCTCTGCTTTTTTTACTTGTAGGTTTATTCTCCAGCCCAAAGGAGTGATTCATAATCAGCTCTTAGAAAAACAGAGGATAGCCGAAGAGAAAATTAAGGAATTAGAGGTAAGTTTTGGCAGGTAATAATGCTGAAAGTAGACCACTGAAGGTCAACAAGATACTATTTGCTACATCTCATTTTTATCTGTTAACTTTCATTCTCAAGGATTGTAACTAGGGGAAACAGAGAGCCTGTTACAAGTAACCTACAAGTAACTCACGGCACTTGGTTCCTTTCCTAGACCTACACACCTTTGGGGATTGATTGATCGCTCTCTGTCCTGATATGAAAACTGGGGGTGAGGAATTCAAAGGGGGTTAGTAGGAGCAGGGTTTAAAACAAGCAAAGGGATGTTGGTGTGGTCATTTGCTGCAGATAAGTGACGTGAAACTTGGCCAGTGCTGTGGGTATTAGAAGGTTACGCTGGCTCAGGACAATTGCACAAATTCATGGTAGAGAAATCCATTGAGAATTACCAAATATGTAGAAATGGCATCCTGCTCAGGAAGTCCCTGAGCTAAAAATGTCTGGAGGGTGGGAAAGTATGAGGAGGAAGTACCATATAGGCCTGTCTTGTCCTTCTGCTCTGCATCTGCTTGATGAGTGGATCTGTGAGGAGATGGGAGATGGGACTTTGTTTTGACAATGTGGTCAGAGCACTTCTGTGTTCTCGTGTTTATCTGGTTGGAGTATTCAAGGCAGAGAAGGATATCTAGGAAATAAAAAGTAGTGTCTGCGCAAGTTCCAGTGTTCAAACGAGCTATCTGGTGAATCTTGACTATCTTCTCATGGCTGCATGTTCTTCAGAGAAGATGTTCAAAATGTACTTTCCCAAGGCTGTTAGTGTGGTTTTTTTCTTAATGCTCCTAAAGTATCATTAATACAAACCCCTGTTCATCGGTCTTTGAGGAATGACAGGGAAAGCAAAGGCTGAGTTGTGTTAAGCTGCTTATCCCTTTAGTGTTTTGGAGAAAGTGAGTGTGGAGACCAGCTAAGCAGGGAGAAGCAGGAATAGGAATTCAGTGCTCAAACCCGCTCAGACCTGTGCAGTTCTGTCTCTGTTCTCCCCTACTTACACTGAAGTAGAAGCTGAGTTTGTATTTTTTTTAATTCCTTCTTAGAACTCAGCCTGCCTGGGGAGCTGCAGAGTAAGCCCATCCCCATGGGTTGTGTTGCCTGGAGTGTTTTCTGTGCCAGACACTAAGGGGGTTTGTGTTTCTGCTTATGAGACCTCAGGGCAAACGAGTGCTCCGTGGACAGGTTGTATATTTAAGGTGGTGTGGAGGCAAGGCACAGTTATTTTTACAGCTATATGATAAAAGCAATGGTATCCTGGCTCCTGTGGAGCCATCCCTGATTCCAATGGCACTGTGCAAAGACAGCCCTGCGACTAGGGTTGGAGGACTTCATGGCAGCACCTCTGGGTTTGGAAGCAGGTGGAGTGTGGCTGGGCAGCCTCTGTTTAAAACTGCCCCTCAGGTCCCTGCCAGCTCCAGGGGCTGTGGTCAGCTTTTTGGCTACTGTGCCCTTCAGCCCTTCAGCATCTGGGTTTCTTCCTGTTCCTGGTGGGGAATGGTCTTACCTCCTGAACTTTCTGATCGCTGAGTTCGGCAGAATGGGTGGAATTCCCCCCAAATTACAACCTTTGCCATTCTCACACAAAGCCTCAGACCCGGCTGCTTCGCAAATGTTGTTGTTCTGCTTTGTAGCTCCCTGTTGCTGAGTCTCTGGTTGTGGCCATTGAATTGAAGTTCCCAGCAATAGTGACTGTCTCAAAAGGTGGTTGGAGTGCAAAGGTTGTTGCCATGTGGGTCGGTTTTTCTTTTTAATCATGGATAGTAGGGCTCAGTTTGCCAAAACGTTTGACAGTTTGTTTTAAGTGAACATTCAAGTCCCTCTTTTAACTAATCTGCTTCCAGCTGGCTCTGGCAGTTCTGTGAAAAGGGATTCCCCATGGAGGAGGACAAGCACTTAGACAACTGACATTTCGGGGGAAATACCTGAATCCAGCTCAGAGAGTACTTATCACAGGAGCAGGGGATTTTGCTTGTCCTGAAAACAAGTTGTGACCGAAGCAGGAAAGAATGTGAAACTTTGTGACCTTGTGCTTCCACCGCATCATTGTAAAATAAATACCAAACCAAGAAAGGTTAAAGCTTCCCTCCATCCATTATTAAAGCTGGAAGGGCTTTAAAGCTTAGGTTTATATTTTACATTGTTAACTACCTTATTACTTACTCACATTTCTCATTTTGCATAGCTGAATCAGGCTGGTCAGAGTAATCCCCCAGGGCCAGGACGGTGTGGCTGATCTGGTTACTCATGTAGCCTGAGCTTGAGGCAATTGTGCCTTGCTGTTGATGACACTATTGCCAAGGGATTGTGAAATATGTATTTTTTGATACATGCCTGATTCTGAGAAATGCTCTCCCTGCCACCTCAGTGCTGTTTGCAGAGGAGCACAGCACTGCTGAGCTCTACTGAAAATCCATCCAGCTGCGTGGCAAGGAGAGCTCTTGAGTGCTGCCTGTTCCTGTTCCTGGAAATGTGGCTCTAACTTGCTCCAAAGGTGTGAGCTGGGTTTCCTGACATTCACAGCTGTCAGTGAACTTTGAAAACTCTGAAGGCTTTTGTGCCTGGATTGAAAGCTCCTTTTCTCTCTCTGGCAGTTTCCCCCTCTCCAATCTCTGCTGTTGCAGTGGTGCATTGCTTTCTTGAAGGCAGCATCACAAAATTGATGGGACACTGGTGGTTTGGGCCTCCTTGCAAAGCAGCAAGGACAGCCAGACCTGTCCTTGTACAGGGCTGGGAAAATAAATGTTGGCTGGAATACACGTTGGTTGTACCTGGTGAGAGGAGCTGTGTTCTGGGAGCTCCAGAGGGTCTGGATGTGGATGAGGGGACAGTGCAGAGCTGTCAGTTATTCTGCAGCAAACCCAAGGTAACTTTACCCTTCTTCTGAAAGCTGTGTGGGAAATGAATATGTAAGTATATATAGAGTTATGGAATGGTTTGAGTTGGAGGAGACCTTAAAGCTCATCTCATTCCATCCCCTGCCATGGGCAGGGACACCTTCCACTAGACCAGGTTGCTCCAAGCCCCATCCAACCTGGCCTTGGACACTTCCAGTGATGGGGCAGCCACAGCTTCTCTGGGCAACCTGTGCCAGGGCCTCACCACCCTCACAATAAAGAATTTCTTCTGTATATCTAACCTAAATTTCCCCTCTTTCAATTTGTACCCATTACTTCTTGTCATATCACTACAATTCCTGATGAAGAGTCCAGTCCCTCTCCAGCTTCCCTGTTAGGCTCCCTTCAGATCCTGGAAGGTGCTGTGAGGTATCCACACAACCTTCTCTTCTCCCCAGGTTTCTCAGCCTGTCGACTTCATATGTACCCATGTAGCATTCTGAACTTCACAGCTCGTCCATAATCCTTTGGAATCCAAATAAACTGCCCAGGCTTGCTGGCACAACACCTGTGCCTGCTGACAGGCTGTGCCAACAGGGCTTACCCAAACCTCCAGAGGTTTGGTGCCAGAGGCTCTCTCACACACGGGCATGGGACGTGTCCTGCTTAGCAGGAGCCATTGGATTTTTCCAGTCCTGATACTATCAAATTCTTGTTGTGTTTCACGGTACAGGGGGTATGTGTTCAATCTATTTTGAAAGCATTCTAAAGGGATGAGCACAGACTCTTTTTAGCTCAGCAATGTTTGTGCAGTATTAGGAGAAAAACCAAGTAATGTTTTTCTTCCCTTGTTTTTAAGGAAACATGATATGTGAGGGGTGGAACAATGCTTTGTTTCAGGAAATGTTATCCGTTTCCATTGTAGGGCTACATGGATTCTGTTTTTAAATGTGGCATTTTAAAGAGAACAAACTCTATGATGTTATAAAGACATGGAAAATTGATTCTTCATTAGGGGTGGAGAAAGTGATTATCACTGTGTGCTTTCCCTGATAATATCTGATAGTCCCCTTCTCTCCTGCTATATTCAGCTTGTTTAGTTGTCAGGCGTTGTCAGACTAAATTGCTAAAAATAACAAATAAGGGGGAGGCTCTGCTGGGCAGCTCTGTCTGCTGTGTGCCACTGAATTTAGCTCCTTCGGGAAAAGGGCAAAAGCAACCTGCAGCTTTCTGGTTGAATTGGATTTTGGTTTTAAACTCTGACCACAACATAGCTGTGTGCTTGTTTCCCAGGCAGTTCCTTCACATGTCTGTGGGAGGCTGAAAGTTTACTGCTGCAGAGTTTGGCTGGTTGGTTTCTTCTCTGGCTGCCTGGAGTAGACAAAGCTTGATCGAAAAGCTTGAGGGCTTGATTTCTAATCCAGAAATCCTTCACGTGAACCCCAAAACGCCGTGTCCAGTTTCCCTGTCCCACACAGAACATCTCTGTGCTCTCATTCCTGGTGGGGGAAGGATCACTGTGCTCTCAAGCACTGCTGTGCTCCACGTTGAAAGCCTCAGGTGGTGTTTGGGGAGCTGGTGAAGTTACAAAGTGAGTGCATTGCAAAGCCTTGTGGTGAGCACAGACTTCTTCCCCGGCGCTGCCTGAGCTCAGCCTTGCTCATGCTGCGGCTTCCATTTCTCTAATCTTCTTTTTCTGGGAGCTTTAAAATGGCTTTGCTGCAGCCCCGAGGCGCAGTGGTGGTGCCCCCGCCCTGGAGGAGTCTGGTGGTTGCCACAGCAGCGTTTTCTTGCCCTGTGGGAACAAAGATTTCGGCAGGCGAGGTGTGGCTGGGGAGAAGCGCTGGAGCCTGGGGCAGGTATGGCTGGGATGGACCTGCTCGGCTTCCACGTGCCCCAGGGGCAGCTCTCCTTCATTTTTTTACTAAAAACCCTCAACGTGGAGGCCAATTCTGTGGGTGGCTTTAACGAGGTGAAAACAAGTCTCTTGAGATCTGTGGTGCTCTTCGCAGACCACGAAGTGCCCGTCAGAAGGTTGCAGTTGTCGGGACGTTCCTGAGTTAGCCCAGTTTCTTCCAGGGATCTACAGTGCAAAGGTTCTCACCCCCTGGTTGGCTCGGGGTAGGCCAGTGCCCAGGAATGTGTGGTGGGCT